GGGGGGGGGGGGATTCTTTCCTGCCTCATAAACAGTTATGATGTCATCACTCTATAGTATATACCCATAATAGTAATAAGAGTATATAGTCTATACCCTTAATTTGAATTTAATTTAAATGTTTCCCTCCCTCCCCTTTCAGGTTTCCAGGCTCCCTGGGGCTCTGTTTCACCCTTGAGAAATCTTTGGAAGCTTTGGGATGAGGAGGGTGATTTAAAGATAGAGTGACCATTCCAAGAAATAATGCTGCAAGAAAACTAAAATCTAATCTACTCATTTGTCACATTCTGTTCTAAGCTATCAACAGGTCCTGTGGCACTTTAAAGGAAAGAAATCAAAAGCTTAGCATAAATATTGGTGAAATGCACATTATTTTGTCAGGTAGGAGTATTGTACAAATCATACATCAAACAAAATCCATTCATCTTTAAGATACTACATGATAGTTTGCTGGTTGTGCTGCAACAAACTAACATGCCCCCCTCCCCCCCAGGAAATTATAACCAAGACAAGGAATCTGGGAAGGAGTTCTAATCATGAAGGATGAGTTGAACATAAAAGGACACATTCAGTTTTCAGGAATTCCCCTGAATTCCATACACAAAATGAACCAGTCATAATCTTGGATGCAGTTGATCAAAACTTTTACAAACACAGGGGCTTCATGAAGAGTTTTTACTCTCACATCAGTCTGTATCCTTGCATGCATCTGACTTCTTTCTCCTATGTGTTCAATGTCTATATGGTAGGATAATAAACAGTAAGGCACCTTAAAAGAGTAGCAGATTTACTTCAGTGTGAAGGAAGCTGGTTGTCATTCACAAAAGATCACAACGAAGCAAATCTGTTAAACTCATAAAATACCACAACATTTTAAAAGTCTATACATGCTAAAACAGACTGGCACAGCTAATTGTTTCCGGCAAAAATTGTACGATAATGGAAATGGCTCCACTTGGCATGACTTTTTAAGACAGCAAAGTCCCATCTGTGGAGATCTTCACATACTAATATCTCGCAGTGAATGTTTTTACTTTCTCTGTGTAATAGCCTCTTCTCACAATGGCCTCAGCTAGCAAGGGTTCCAGTGGCAAAGGCTGCATTAGTAGTAGAAGCAGAGAAGTCTAATTCTGACATACAGGGCCTGGAGGATCCTGCAGCAGAGGAACATGGCCCCCTCAACTTTCATATTTATCAGCAGCTAAACTGTTATATAGTATAAAGACTGGAATGCACATGCATCACACAGCAAATTTATTGCTATGCTTGGATCCTTATGAAAAATGAATAATAACATGATTGTAGGTAGAAATATAGATAAAAACTGCTTGTAGCACTTGGACAAATTCATTTTAAAAATTACTAAAAGATTGCAGATGGCAAAAATGAAATGGTACCAGAGCAAGCCCTTAAAAATATAATCTACAACATTAGTCTTTCTTACTAATGAATGTTTACAAATCAGATTGCTCTCAAAGGACTATCTTCCCTGTTCAAATAAGAAGTGATAGGAGAGTTTTATAATCTGAACACTTGTCATTTTTTTGTAGTTTAAAAACTACCAGCCTGGAAGAAAGGTCCAGTTTAAATCAAACTGCGGTATGAGGGAGAAATTAGCTCATCCCACTTGCTGATTCACCAACTGAATTCCCTACAGTCCACCCTGAACCACTATTAATTGTGGAGAAGAAAACATAAACATGTATGAAGAGTGTGTTTGTAAGTTTTTCTCTCCATAGCTGATAACAGTTCTAAAAAGACAATCTACATCTGAGCTTTTAAATGATGCAAAAGTATCAGACCCCACTCCCTGCCTAATCCAAACAATTTCTCCTCCCTCTGAATTCCAAAAGAAAAAAGAAAAAAATGGGAATGCCAACTATAAAATTCCTGTATTATATTTAGTATAGCCATGAAGTAATTCTGTGAATATCTATTTTTCAAATGAAATTTCAGACTGACCTATCAAGAGTGCTTTTAAAAAGTTACACTCTTTCTCTTCCTAAGAGCTACTACTGTTGTATTTTTATCTTACTGCAGCTGCAGAGCAAGTTGTTAACTCAAGGCTTTTCCCACCAAAAGGCAACTTGTAGCCAGCAGAAGTTTTCACTAGACAAAAAGGAGAGAGGTTACTTCCTACTGACCACAAGATGGGGGGACTAATCTGTGGCAAGTGGAAGTTAAAAAGAAGAATGTCTCTCTACTCTATGTAATGCTGATATCACCCACTTGTATCCACACACATATGCACTGAGTTATATGCACATAGTCTGTGAGAGTAAATTATCTGACATGCACGCATCTTTGCAATGGGACAGTGGAACTGAATCCTTAAGCCAAATTAGTGTTTAGTGTTTAGGCAAAACCATTTCTGTATCTAAAAAAGATGATGTACTGCCTACACAAAGCAAAGTCATTCATCACAGAAACCTGACTTTCCAACCAAGATGTGGTCTGCTGAAAGCAGGATTGTCTTTGCACATATTATTAAGTCAAAACGTGAAAGTGGAGAGAGCTAAATGTAGACTGTATATACCATGTGTCCTACTTTACAGTGGAAAATCTTTTGTTTAAAGGATTATTGAGGGCATTCCTCTATTTGAAAGGCTGTCCAGTTCAAGTCTATTTTAATGATAAAAACCCATAGGGGGAAGAGCAGAGCCACTGAAGCTACTCATAAGCTACAGGGACGAACCTTGGTGCTGATGTCCATGGTGGTTCATATGCACAGCACCACAGGTACCACACGTTCCCTTCCTCTAACTCCCTGGCCAATGGCTTACTTACAAGCTGGCACAAACTCCTCTCCTTCTCCTCTTCATCTGGGGCAGGGAAGCCCATGCTTCTGCTGGGGACTGGTCGAACAGCTGAAGAGGAGGAGGAGAGGAGCACATGCCAGCTGGTGAGTGGGGGATCCAGCCAGGGAGGCAGGGGAAGGGAACCTGCAGCACCTGCGGTGTCATGCATTCAAACCTACACAAACATATGAACCAAGGTTTGTGCCCATCTCTACTCATGACCAGCAACTGGACAAGAGTATGAGCAGGCACAGAGGTCATTTGGTCAAATTCATTCCCACTACAGCAAGCACTGTATTTCTATTTAAATAATAATACGTAATTAATTCAACATTTGCAGTAATAAAGCAAAGTGCACTGCTTATACTGTGTACTGTCCCATAGTGCTTAAAACACATTCTACATGGTTTACAATTTAATTATTTGCTCCCATTCAGTAAGGTAGGTACTCATTTTACCGACCTCAGAAATATGAAAGGCTGAGTGAACCTCAAGCTGGCTACCTGGGATTGAACCCAAGTTGTGAGCAGAGTTTTGGCTACAATACTGCAGGTTAACCACTGCACCAAAAGGCTCCTTCGTATACATTATACATTAACAGATGAAAATTTTATGCCAAGTCTGTGCCTTCTCTTGATCCCTCTTTGGCTACTGGGTAAGCAGTCATCTGAAACATGCATTCTAGACCATGCAACTTTTATACTTTAATTGCAAATGTGAGGAAAGTAAAGAATGCTTTTAATAATTAAAAGTGCTGAGATAGGAGGCCAGAGACATCTTGTAAAATTTCTTTTGAGAATAACTGACCAAAAGGGAACTGGGTGGTACACCAGCAAAAAAGAGCAATATAGATCCTGAATAGAGATGGGCAAGAACCAGCACAGTGGTGGTTTATTAGTGTCCACATACCGTACAGAAATTTATTTAATGAACCTATTCATTGGGTTCAGGCCCATCTCTAAATGATGAGGAGGCTTTCCAACTCATCTACACAGAAAGCCCTTGATGATGGGTTTCCCATCCCACACCTCCCTTCATGGGCACCTACCATACTTGCTCCAAACCTCCTCCTCCCTCTGCCACTGCCACACTGCCCAGCTGAGTGTATTGTGGGAAGTGTACTTTCAGGGTTTCCTATATAGCCCAATGAGCAGCAAAACTAGACTTCCCACAATACCCTAAGCCTCCCAGGAAGCCCTGGGGAAAGTAGGCCCTAAGCCTACTTTCCTACTCACCTCAACAGTAGCAGCGTAGGGTACGGAGAGGCGAGTCCCACAGTGAGTAAGGTAGGTACTGGGGCCAATGAAGAGAGGCTTTCTCAGGGAGCGGGGGGACAAAGCAAAACAAACCACCAATGATGAAAAAGTTTGGATTTCATTTCAGTTGGTGAACATGTGGCTCCCTGAACCACCCACAAGACAAACCACGAACCAGCCCGGTTCATGGGGTTTTTCGATTTGTGGTTCATCTCATGCCCATCTCTAATCCTAAACAATTTCACCCCAGAATCTCAGATCAATTCCAGCAGCACAGTATCCAGTAAAAAGAAATCAGCATTTTCTCTCTTTTTCAATCTCTGTCTAATTGTAAATGAAATTCTTAAGAGAAGCATTACCAACAATTTTTTTTGAAGAATAATTCAGCTGCTGGAAACCTTAGTAATGCAAGCAGTGGCTCTAAAGATAATCATGTTTTGTCAGCCTGGAAGACCAAACACCATATTTATTTCTTCTGAAACTACTTAAAAGTCCACTTTCTCTAAATCTTGAAAATTTAAACTTTGGAAAATCAAGATTGTCAAAAATATTTACAAAACTTAATTTTACAAAAATAAAATCTTTATATAATCTTTAGAATTCCATCTTGAGCAATACATACAACCATAAAATCCAGTGCCAGTAGAATGATTCCATGTACATTCCGTGTATACCAAATCTAACAAGTTTACCTTATTTTTCACGTATGTTCTGTGGGTAACAGATTAGTGGAATGTAAAATTTTTACCAATTTCTATTGAAGTGTTCATCCCTCATTGCCTTTACCAGCCAGTCCCGTTCCTTATCATCATCAGAGTCACTCATATCACTGGAATCTGCAGCAAGGAGGCGGGAATAATTAATTTTTTTCTGCCGTGGCAACTTGGACTGGACAATTAAAAACAAGATCAGCCAGAGTATCAGAGTAATAGAACATGCTCTGTAGAGCACTGCTAGGCCAAAACTGTTCACAACAAACCCTCCTGCAAAGCTGCCTAGACTGGCTCCACATCCATACGAAAGGTCTTTCAGGACAAGGTGCAGAGACCTTTCTGTGCCAGGAGTGGCAATGTCATCTGCTTGCATGTTCACAGCCCACCACAAGGCACCATTGCTGAAGGCACATAAGATCTGAATTGGCAGCACCACCCAACTATCCCACAGGAAAGAATAATAGAGGAGCTGGGCCACCAGGCAACTTAAACTCAAGGCAACTGTGCCACCACCAGAGAGAGCTGTTAGCAACTTGCTTTTGAAGAAATAGAGGAGGATTTCAACAACTAGTCCAATGGCAACAGAGAGGCCCATATATAATTCATTGCTGCCTTGGTCTTGCATTTGCCAGAAAAGAAAATTCTGCACAGTTGACCCAATGGCCCCTGTGAGGAAGACAGTGACAGCAGACAGGATGGTCCGGCCATCACTCCCAATGAGGCTCAAAGCCTTGACAGTTTTATTGATGTGTTCATTTTTTTTGGACACATGGATAGGAAAGAAGATGCTGACAAGTAATGTTAAAGTTATCAACGACGCATAGCCATAAAAATGTACCACAGAGCGTGGGAAGTTGGTGCTTAAAAAGCAATTCAGCTGATCAACAAATATTGCTATGCTGCATGCTCCTACAGAAGTGCCTAAGTAATTCCAGATCCAAAGGTTCCCATGTTTGTCTGCAGCATCCACAAAATCAAGATACTCATACAAGCTGTCATCAACCATCCACCCAAGAGGTGCAGCTAGGAGCTCCCAAAGCACAACAACACCTAGCACCATAAGAAAGACCTTATGCTCACTGTCCAAGAACTCAGTGCCCTCTAGTAACTGAGAGCTCACATCCTGTGCTCTTTCCCAACGTCCAGATAGGTTTTTTAATATGTAGGGTGTCTCTGTAAGGCTCATCAGGGCCGTATGAAATGTGAAGTTAGAACTTCTCCTTGAAGAGTCATTTCTCATGAAATTCTCTTTCACATTCATGATGCCAGTATTTGGACTTCTGGTTGCCTTCACAGGCCCATTCATAGTAGATATCTCTAACATTTTTTCTACTAAGGCTATTTCTGCTGCCGAACCATCTAATGTCACACTAGAAGGGACGTTGTTGAATTGCTGTGTATCTATATGCACATCACCAACTCTGCTGTCTGTCACAGGAGGTACATGTACAGGATAATATGTTTTGATTGGTGTATATACATCTGTCAAATTTGCGGCAGTCAGCAGGTCCTTTGAGGCTGTTCCAATTGTTTCTGTAGAGAGCATTTTGTCATCAGGAGCAGGTCTTGTATTCACTGTACTCAGACTGTTCTTGTTGATATAAGGCACCTGGGTTGCAACCAATAGTTTACCTGGGTGCTGACTCATGTTACAGTATGTATAGACAATGTCCTTGCTCATTGGTGGGACGAGAGTAAGGACCAAACCTGCTCCAGCTGAGCACAGTAGAGATCCACTGATAAGAGCTTTCCTTTTATTGTAGGTTTTTGCAAGATAAGAGCATAATGGGGCCCACAGGGATGTGATTAAGTGTTTGAGTCCTATTACAATTCCTACTAATGGTGGGCTCAGTCCAAGCTCCCGAAAGTACAGAGTTAAAAATGGAATTGTGCAAGCATTTCCAGCACCATAGAGAAAATTGAAGAAGCCAGCAAGAGTTAGTGCTCTGTTCACATCCCACTGACTATTCATACTCGTGGCTTCAGGTGCAGGCTTGGTTCTCAATTTTGTCCTGAAAATTAATAAAACAAATATTTGTCAGTATTACATAAACTAAATGTAACATGTTAAAATGAACAGTTATTTTTGTTAGCAGTAAAAAATGTAATATAAGTAACTGAGTATGTATTGGAATTGTATTAAAAATAATAATAATACCACAATAATTGCCTTCAGGCTCACAATCCACCTGTGACTACAATCTTTACTCATTTTTGTACACTTTATGTACAATGTAAAAAGCAGTTCTACAATGTACAGTAGCTTTTTGTACCGTATGTCTCTAGACAAAGCCTCTCAAAGGCAGTTTACAAAACAAATGTTTTAAACAATAAATTGAAAACATAGTGAATGTTTCCTTGAAACTGTAGAAGTACAGCAGTTGATATCCAGTGGGTAGAGTGGTGGACTAGGACTCAGGAGATCAGGGTTCCAGTTCGGCCATGGACATTCACTGGGGGAACTGTAATGGTAAAACCAATGCTTAACTTTCTCTCGTACCTTGAAACTCCTATTACAGTTGCCATAAGTTGGATACAACTTAATGGAATGTAACAGACACAGTAAAATACTTTAAGAAGTTTTTAAAATTAATAAATTAAAAACAGTCTGGAACAATCAAGTCTTTAGGGTCCATTTAAAAACATGCAGGGAAACTGCAATCTGCACATTTTGGCATAGGGCATTCCATATGAATATGTCCACCTCACAGAAGGTGCTATCTCCTGTATCTGCCATTCTAACAGATCTGACTGGTGTTTGGATAAGGTTGGCCTCTCTAGCCAAAGAGCTTAGTTTTTGGATGCAGGTTGTATACTCTCTTAGACATCAACAATAGATTTACTTCTTGAGTCTATAAGTATAGGGTTGTTTAGATAGAAACTTATTAGATGATTAAAGAAAGCCAGTGTTTTTAATCATTTCACTCATGCTAGGTCTCATGTCAGTTGCATAATGGAATGGAGAGTGCTTTTTTTAATCACAAAAAGTTAAGAGGCCCCCAAAGTAAAGTAAATGTGTTGTTGTTGTTTTCTTTTTATATGGTTATGAAGGCAAAAGTGATGTATGCATAATCACTAGTGATGTCATAATAACTACCAAGGAGGTGATAATGACACTTCAGAAACTACATTACATAATATTTAGTACTGGTAGAGGAGTAGAGTCATGTTTTCTCCTGGAGACTAAGTGTCAGAAAAATGCTGTTATTACAAAGGAAATAATTTCTTGAAAAAATGGCTGGATTCTATACAACAATGAAAATCCATGCATTTACTATGTCATGAAATAAATACCTCAAAGTAACCTACATAAAGTACTAAAAGTACACACAACAAATTTAATGAATTTCAAACAAATAAAAATGGGCTCTCTGCAGTGCGTGTGGATTGAGTGATGGGGCTCAATATGAACAATTTGCTTTGGGCACTATATTCCAAGGGTGCGCTGGTTTATTGGCTAAAACCTATTTATGTAACGTTTTAGAATATGACTTCCCAGACCTATCGTTTTGACTTTATGCCTCAGGTCCATGAATATGCTGTATGAGCCACAGCAAAAATGAGTTCCACAGTCTTTTAAGAACTGGTTTTGTTTAAAGTGTTCCCAGTAATTTCCCACAGTACTTCTGCAATGCCTTAAAGCTCTGAAAACAGATCAAAATGCCCAACATTCTTTCTAAAATGAAGTTTCAAACAACAAAAAAATTGTGACTGCTGGAAAACTAACAGTAATGTATCCATCCATCAAAACCAGCTGGGAGACAGATTTCAATTATTATCTTAACATGCTGCCAGCTATGGTTGCCAGCATTTCTTCTAAAGCATATTTGCCCAGAGATGGCAATGTTGAGATTTAAAATGCCCTGTTCACACAGGAACAGATAAAGAATAAATATTAAAATGCTGCTATGTCATTTCTGTATAAGAAAAAAGGCATAAAGACCAATGTGTAATAACAGCTGGAAGAATTTTCTATTCATAATTTGATTTAGTTAAATCTGGGTTATCTCAGGAAACTGCAAAGCAAGATTAACAAAAGCTGAAAGGTGTAAAGACACCAACTAGAAGTTCTTCTGTAGAAGATGGTGACCATGATTTGGAAGAGCAACTATGGAGGAACTAAAAAATGTTCTTCACAGTAAAGATATGTCACTGGAGACTAAAGCCCAAATCTTTCATACTCTGAGTTGCTACATGCAGATGTGAAACCTGATAGTGAAAAAATCTAATGGGGAAAAAAACCTGATTCTTTTGAAATGTGGTGTTTGAGAAGTTTCAGATACCACAGACTACCAGAAAGTAGGTGCCTGAACTCTGTGTAGAAGAAAAAACTTACTATATTGAGGTTATCAAGACTCTGAGAAAACAAAATTCACAACAAGAAGAAATAATGCTAGGAGAAGAGGAAGGCAGCAGAAAAGAGGAAGACCAAACAGGAGATAGCTGGAGCAATGAGCTGGATACCTGGCTGCAGAGCCAGAGGTCAGGAGTTTGATTTTTCCATTGTGCCTCTTGGAAGAAGAACCAGCCTCTTGGACATGCCATATAGTCCTAGAGCACCCTCAAAAGAAGGGAACAGTAAATAATTTCAGAGAAAATCTGGAAAGAGTCACAATAAGTTAGAGTAGACTTGGCGGTATGCAATCATTATTAAATATGAGCTGGACTGACTCTACAGCCTTGAGCTTGCAAGAGCTGGGCAAGGCTGTTAATGAGAGGACATTTTGGAGGTCCCTAATTTGTAAGGTCTCCATAAGCCAGAAGCAACTTTATGCCCCCCCCGTAACAGTTAAAACTCATGAATACTTGGCTAAAAACATTATTTTTTAAAAAACATACTGTAGATATATCTTTGGTAAATCTCAAAAGACAAGCACACCCCATACTAATTACATCTAAACACACTCTCCCTGGGATTGCCATCAGAGTCACATTTTGGGAGCTGTGTCCATACATAGTAAGTAGAAACATAACATATGGATAGTTTCTCCATAGTCTTTTGAAATCACACTGTGTTTTTTTGCATACTCCACAACACTTTTTAAAGAAGTATGCTTAAAAGACAATGAAAGGGATTTCCTTTTGGAGAAATATAGAAGAGTGTTGTTTGGTCCTTAACCACTCGAACTGAGGCAGCTGTAAAACAAAAACAACAACAAAAGTAACAACAGCAATAAAAATGGTCTCTCCTGACTTGTTTTTCAACTCTGTCAAAAAATAGCGAAATTGATAGGGTGTAAATATGAGTGCACGGCCCAGGGTTCCTTCTTTGCTCTGTCATAGTGTGATGAGATTAAAAAGGGGTGGCAACTCCTAACCCTTCCGTGACTGGGGTGGGGCGAGCAGGGCACAATGCTTCGCATGCCAAAGGTTCACGTTCAACCCCCGGTATCTCCTCCGCAGGGCGAGCGAAGAACCCTGTTTGAAGCCCTGGAAAGTCGACGACTTCATTATCCCCAGACCAAGGATCCTGTCCTAATGACTCTTGGCCATCCATGACAAGGGCGACGCGCGGAAAAACCACCCCCGGCGTCCTTCTGAGGAACCCGCTTCCCAGGCCAGCCATCACGAAAGCCTTCCCCGTCGCGCGTCCCCTCGTTGCCAGCCTGACCCCCCCTCCAGTCCCACCCAAAGCAAATGGGCCCTGGGGAAAAATACGACCCTCATCCCCGCACCTCTGGGAGGCTGCCATGGCAACCGCCGCCGCCGCCCGCCTCTCGCGCGCGGATTTCTTTCACCGCGCCCGCGCGCGCGCCAGCGCGCGGAGCCGCCAATACCTGAGAGGAGGAGGGGGCGAACTACTGCTGCTGCGGCTGCCGCGGTGGCTTCGCTGCTGCTGCTTCCGCTGGTTGACGGGGCTCGCGGCGCCAGCCTGCCAGCAAGTGCAGAGACGCACTACGCATGCGCCAAGGACACACCTGCCTACGGCAACACAGACCGAGGCGTGCTAGACCCCGCCCCCGGGGCACCTGTTCGCCTCGGCCCTTCAGAGCGCGCGCCCTGTCGCTCGGCCGGCCTCGCCTCTCTTCCTCGGAATCGGAGGGGGATTTCCGACCACCGGGTTGGAGGGACACCCCCCCTCCCCTATGCAAGGGCAGACTGTTGCGGGGGTAGGGGGAACCGCCTTGGAGAAAGTAATGATGACTCCTGAGGATGGTGAC